CAGATAACAGAAAACCCAGTAGAGGAGGCCAGCAGATCCTGGGAGCAGAGGGGCCCAGGTTCTAAGAAGGGACGCTGGTTCTGTGGTGAGTGAAGGATCCGTTCTTCACCTCCTGTGCCCATGGTTGCGGTCCATGCCCCAACTTCCCATAAATCTGAGAGTGAAAAGGATTTCTTTAAGGCACAGGCCAATACAGAAGTGTGAACAACATTTATTTAAAGCCTCTCTAAGTAGGAAAGTGGTGGCTTGGTGGTAAGAATTTGAACTGCCAACCCAGAGGCTCACAGTTCAAATCCACCAGCCACTCTGTGGAAGAAAGATGGGCAGTCTCTTCCTGTCTGATTCACTCCCTCTGAAAACCCACTGGAGGTTTAACAGCATAGGTAGGAAAGAGCCCTGGTGATGTAGTGTATAACATATCAGCCTGCTAGTCAGAAGGTTGGCAGTTCAACACCACCAGCTGCTATTCCACCGGAGAAGGCTAGCTAGTCTCTTATAAAGATTTACAACCTCAGCGACATGCTTGGAGGGCTTAAGAGTCAGAACTGATTTGAAAGCAGTAATTCTAAGTAGTGGTTGACTCTTTTGAAAAAGACAATAAGCCCTCTGTATAAGGCAAAGTCCTTTAAGCATCTTGCTTCATATTGCATGCAGTCCTCTTCCACGTCGTCAGGACAGTACGACAGTAATAGCTGCCCTTTGTAGATTGCTAAGTATGACCATCATCACATTTACTCTCCACTGGAAAACTGGGTTAAATACAGCTGCTCTCTGGTGGCCGAGTGGGTAATGAGTTGCGCAGACATCAAAAAGGCAAGTGATTCGAATTCACCTGCTGCTTCACAGGAGAGAGCTGGGCAGCCTCCTCCCACGCAGCCTCTCGAAAACCCACTGGAGAGTCACCTTTGAGCACATAACCGCTGTCCCTTTACAGCTGACTCTGTGAGCCCTCAGCAAAATGCAGGCCACTCAGTCACAGAGCGGCTAAGGGGCAGATCTTGGGTTCAGACCTAAACTTGTGGCTTCAAGGCTCATGTCCTTCACCCCCTTGTGCAACTGGACACACCCCTTCCATGGCTGTGGGGGGTCCAGTACCCACACACACCTCCCTGGTAGGTACTTCACAGCTTTAAGGCGAATGTGCTGTAGATTTGGAGACGGCTTGCATTTTTAGGTCTTCTTAAGTGATCCGAGCCCATTCCAAAAATAAACGTAGCTCTTTGATTTAAAAGATAATCAAGTTCATCATTATTTTCCTATTAACTAGCACATAATAAATTCTGCTTCTCATTGATTTTTCTACCTATTTTTTGTTCTGAAGGAGAAAGGGAAAAAAACCTAACTCAGCATGGATTTTTTTTTTTTTCCTCTATTGCCTTTCTGATTGAAACATCAGAGCGTGGAGATCCAGTAATGGGCTGCTCCCATCTTGGGGGATTTGCTGACAAGGGATTGAGGATGCCAACAGCCCACCTTAAAAGTGGGTCAAGAGAGGTGGTGTTGCTGGGAGGCGTCTATGTTCTCGCCCCTCTCAGGAAAAGGAGGAAATGAAGAGCTCAAAATGCTAGTTCTCACTCTCAGATTCTTGGAGACTAAAGGCCAGACTCTTGTCTTGATTTTGACCGTCCTGAAGCACAGACAAGAACTCAGAGGTTCCTTGAAGTCAGGTAATGAGATGTCTTGGCGAAGCCTGAAAGGACGCGGACGTAGAATGATGCTGTCCTCCTGGAATCTGGAAGCTGCACCTTCGTCTTAGTTGCCTTGTGCTGCTGTTCCAGAGTCAGTCACATTCTTGTCGCTTAGGAGGTGAGGGGCCTGAATTCAGGGCTCTGGCACGAACGGAAGGTTTTCTGTCTGTTGGTTCTGGAGGAAAGTCCAGAAGCAGGTCTCTCCCGAGCTCCAGCTCCTGGCAGTCATCATGGGGGGCATCTCCCCGCCCCCTACGTTAGATCGCCTCTCTTTAGTCACAAGAGATGACTTTAAATACAGCTTGCCCTTTTCTTGTCTCATTAGCATGGCCAAGAAAATCCATTTACAAATGAGATTATAATTGCATGCTGAGAGGTGAGGATTTGCAGCAAATATTTTGGAAAGACGCGGTCCAATCAATAGCAATGCCTGTGACCCTGTTTGGATGAAATGGTGTGAAAGCAAGTGTGGTTGGTACCCATGATGGGCATGGTTCATGATACTCACAGGTTCATCACAAACACCAGCCAGCTGGGGTCGGGATGATTTTCCCCAGGCAGCGTGGCCTCGCTAGAGGAGTAAGTGTCGAAAATAGGGGCCAGGTGGTCCCAATAAAGAAGCATTTCCTCTTGAGGTCTAACCCAGCCTGGCTGCCTCTTGCTCCGCTGATGCAATGGATGTTTCTAGAGTGAGATTGAACAGCAGTCTCTCAATGCCCTCCCTCCTCTCCCAGAGAAACTCAGTATGGATTTGACTCACTTTGAATCCTGGTCCAATGATGTTAAAGAGGATGTGGGTTGAGTGGGCTGATTGGACGCTGTGATCTGAGTAGGTGAGTTTCACCCCAGAGATTTGCCTTTCAGCCAGACACCCCGCTGCGTGCTAAGGCCAGGTATTCGTGGGCTATGGGACACCAGACAGGTGTGTGATGTTCTCCAGCTTGTATGTGTTGTGCCTTTCCTAGTCAACCTGTCACAGCCTCTTCCTGCATCTCCTGAGGCCTGGGCCGGAGACACTACAGGCCTTGCTTGCCTTGGGATGCTGGGCATTGTGGGGTGCTGCCGCCACTGTCTCATCATCATTCCTTTGCTGTGTGCACATAAGATGATATTCTAACAGGCTGGTTCCCTTCTCTGCCTTTTTATGTGGCAAACCTTGTTCCCTTCACTTGGGCAGCTCTCTCCTTCCCTCTCCCTCTTTGCTCGCTGTGCTTTGAGTCGCCGCGTCACCTGTGGGGATTCTGTTTTCCAGTGCTCTGACTCCTTCTCCTCATCCATCTTTTGCTGCATTTTCATTTGTTCAGTCCAGTTCTTGTTCCACTGCCCCATTTATCATCCAAGGCAACAACAAAATACCGCTGGAGTCATTGGCACAGTGGCAACATGGGAACTTTATTAAAAGCCGTTCTAACTCCAAATATAAGCAAATAGAGTGAGCATTTAAAACCATGATTGCATTCATTTATTTCTAAATCATTGCACAAGAGATGGGGTAAAGAATGTAGCCTACCCCAAGCAGCTGTTTGACAATTCTGGATTGGTACTTGAAAACAGGTGTGTGCATACAGAGAGCTTCCCAATTCAAAAGGCAGAGTCATAGAAATGCAACAAGTGTCTTCACTAAGCAGAATGTAGTTACTTTGCAAACACAGAGAGCCACCCACATTCTATTTCCTGAGCAAATAATGGGAAATGCCAGCTGCTATTTATGCTCTACCTTGAAGTAAGGGGGTTATAAAAAATTTAGTGGCTTATATAATGCAGATTTGCTTTTAAAATCACACATACACACACACACACACACACACACACACACACACGCAGACACACTATATGAAGATCTGTGTGTACCACTGTGAATTCCAAACTTGCGCAATGTCTTAATGTCATAAATAGAATGTTTAAAATATCAGGAAAAAATAATAGCATTTCATTGAAGGAAATCCCCAGAAGTCAGTAAAAAAGAAATCTTGTTATTTATACAAAAATTCCATTTCATACTGAAGCACCTGCAATCTCTTGCAATATATCAAACAAAATCCAGAATAGGCTGGGTTTTGCAGAAACATAAAGATAAGATGATTTTTCTTCCTGAGGTGTTAGTGCATTAAAATAACCAAATAGAGAAATTCTCCACTGTGTGGAAAAAAGAATACATACACAGGGAGAGAGAATATTAAATTAAAAAGAGAAATACTTACTACAGTGCTTTAAGCGACCTTACACACAAAGCTCCTCAATTACTAGCCGATGCATATGTAGATTTCCGGCAGCCGCGCCCACGTTAATGGGCTTCAGGAGCCTTCTGCAGGGTCACAGGAATATCTCTTGAGTCTCATTAATTTCTTGGTGTTTATTGGGAGAGTTGTCATGAGCAGGGAAAATAGTTTTAGCCTGCCCCCTCTGTGGCTTCAAATACTCTGAGATTTTCAGAGGAACAAGAAGACAAGTTTCTATTTCAGAACTGAAGGAAGGAAACATAGATGACGAGGCCCCCACCTCCTTTCCCTTGCTCTACCCCAGCTGCCTCTCACATGAACTGGCTGTGGACAGCCTGCATCAGGGCGGTGGTTTCCTTCCGCAGCCTGAGTCTTTAGGCCCTCTGTGCACAGGGAAGGAAGGGGCTGCCCTCGCCCTCCACCAAGCAGCAGGTGATACCTTGACAGGCAGCTGCTCGCCCTGTCCAAGCCAAGCACCTCTTCTAGACCATTCCACACCTTCAGCAACGCCTCCTAGCGTCTGCAGGTATCACGTTCAGAGTTGTCTTTTCTGAAATACAAGATGAGAGGCAAAGGGAAGGTTAGGATTTGCTTTTTTGTCTTAACCTTCCAGGGAGTCCGCCTTAAGCTTGAGAGCGTGGTTCTTCTGGAGAAGAGCTGGGAATGGAACATTCGAGACTGTGTGTCGCAAGCAATCCCAGTGCCTCCAAGCGGCAGTGGGCCTGCACATTGTCCTTGTTTAGTCTCTTCCTCATGGAGTGTCACCTCCATAAACATTCCAGGGCTGGGCGATACCTGCTGTGAAGCTTGCTCTGCCAAGTATTCCGCTTCGTCAGATGTTAAAATAGCCGTGTCCTCTTCTGTAATGCAGGGCACATCCTACCCCCAGGAGAATAATATATTTTCAGTGATTTCTGAAAATGGGCCGTGAAAGCTGTCTGCCACATGGCCCACGTTTGCACATCTCTATATAGTTAGGATTGCGGAATTTGACAGTATAACTCTGAATCTGATTAATTAAGAATGTGTAAAAACAAAGTTCTTGCATTACAGCTCGTTCCTTATCTTTGTGTCTTTTACTGTGATGTTGTAGAACTTGGATCATATGGAAAACTAAAATATTATGACACAATGACTGAAGAAGGTAAGCATGATTTTAGAATTGTATGCATTGGCTTTTCTTTTTATTTTTCATTTCCAGCGTCTGTTGCTTGCCCATTCTTATTCCTCTTCTTTTTACTCTTTGGTTTTCTTTTTGCATGACTCCTGTGACACTGTGTAATTTCTTATCCTTTCTGCGTTTTGGTCTCGTTTTCGCCATCGTGTTTATTTGGCATTGGAGACGTGCAATAATACCATGGGAAATCATGTTATTCCATTCAAACGACCCACACCATCGCTATCGTGTAACACTTGAGAAATGGTGTCCACAGGCTAAGTGCGCCCAGCAGCCCACTGCCTCCCCTCACCTCACCACCCCCCACAGAATCACGAGAAGCCAATATTCTTCTTGAAACTTGCCTTTGAGTCAGGGCGCCTGAGACGGGTGGTCTGATGCCTTTCTCATCTACACAACAGAGCAGGCACGCCATAGTGACGCCTAACCGGAAGGGCCCAAACCACTTGAACCTGGCTCTGATGCAGAATGCTCATGACCTTGATCCTGTGACCTCTGTTGACTGATAGGAAAGAACTCATTCCTGAGAGACCAGGGTCGCCATGCCAGCCAGTGAGAGAAGACAGCAATTTCTTTTTCCCTTCTGGCTTGGAATCCCATTCTGTGAGGCTGAGACGATCCTTTTAACCAGTTTCCTTGAAGAAATAAAGCGTCATAGAGATTTTTTTTAACACAGCCTTGCCTCCTTATTCTCAGCAGCTACGTTCTATAAGGAGTCGCTGGGTGGTGTGTGTGGTTGGCACACTTAGCTGGTAGCGAAAGGTGTGAGTCCTCCCACAGATGACTCGGAAGAGCAACCGAGCGACCTCCCCAACCAGCCAGCCGTGGGAGGCGTGTGGGTCACAGCTCTCCCCTGATCACAGGGGTTACCGTGTGCCAGCGTTGATCCCACAGGAACTGGGTAAACCTTCTGTGACCTCCTCAGAAACGCTGAATTAGCAAATGCCGGATCACCTTTGATCCACAGGTCCATTTTGGTGAGCAGGTGATTTTGCAGATGTGAAATTCATGAATGAGGACCCCCTGTATTTACCAGTGATTTCCATCCTCGAGCACAGCCTCGGCCCAGTCAAGATTCTGATAGGGAATCGGGAATCATTCTCTTAATCAAGCTCACCACGGGGCAGTAACTTGAAAATGCTGAACTCTTGTGAAGGGAAATGTCCTATTTCCCTCTGCCCCATGCCACCCCACACGTATTGCCAACTTTTGGGCTATAGATAGTGTATTTATACGGTATGATAATTTTTGGGCCTTTTACCAGATTTTACACAGATAATGACAAGAAACCCAAAAGTGCCCCCCCCCCAAGAGGATCAGTGAATTTTCTCCCTCTCGATAGGAGAGTCTTCTAGATGCACTGCATTTCTTGCTTTCAGCTTCCAGTATTTCTGAGTTGCCTTAGTTTGCAGTGACCTCCTAGTTGCTTTGCATGCGAGAGCAGACATGTCCCAGCCTGGGGAAGAAGCAGCCCCTTCCAGACCCCCTCGTACTCTGGCTTCTGCACAGCACTGAGCCCATCCCGGCATCACTCCTGGGCTTCCAGTCGTTTCCTCAAAGCTACAGACCTCAGTGGGGGACAGGACCCTACTAGGCACTTGGGAAAATCTAAAAAGTACTTTCCTCGAGTATCAAGCGGTCCAAGAGCAGGATACCACCTGCAGGAAAGCATCCTGCCACTGTGGGGGGGAAAAGGGGCAACACACGCCCTCAAGCAAGGCTCCAGCCCCACCTCTTCTTTTTATCTCAAATCTTCAGACTGTTTCTGTTTTTGTTGGTGATTGACAGGAGAAGCCAAAGATGTGGAGTTCCCCGTGATCTGACAGGTCCCGGAGTGTCCTCCAGCACCTCGCCTTGTTTCCACAGCCCTCTGCAGAGCTGTCCCGACCTCTCCCTTTCCCTCTTTATTCCACCCTGCCCCTTGCCGTCTGCCTCACCTTCCTGGTGCCGGTGCAGACTCCCCCTGTCCCTGCCCTGTCCCCTCTCCCTTACTCTGTAGCTTTCCTTCCTCCTACAGCATCCATTTGAGCAAATGTCACCATCTGAGAGCACCCCTTCTCCCCTCTCCCCACCCCAGACAACTCAAGATCCCAGGAAAACAGATGGATACTCCACCTCCAGTCTGATGACATCATTTGATACCTACTGGGCTTTCTGAGCCAGAAACAAAGTCCAAATGATGTCTGCATGGAGAGTCCCGAGTGGCCCTTAACAAGACTGGGGGTGTGCGTTGGGACCCCCAAGTGTCACCTTTCTCATTCTTTACCCTTCTCCTGACATTCCCTGCCCTTGAGACAAATCGCACAGATCCCACTCTTAGCTGAAAATGTGTCTCCATTACAAGGATAGCTAATTTAGCTAAGGTTGCATTTCCCTTCTAAAGTGTGCTAGGAAATCCTAATTTCTCATATCACTGGGAGATGGCATCAACCCAGAAAAGAAGAGGAATAGATCGATTTCCTACATAAATCAGGGTGACGGACTTCTAAGCTAAGTTGGCTTCCTGCATATGACTTCTCAGAGTCGTTACTAGCATGTTGTTGTTGTTGTTGTTTACCATCAAGTAGGAACCAACCCATAGTTGACGCTCTGTCAGGTTTCCAGAAGCAGGTAATCAAACAGGAGGAGAGTGCCCATCCTTCTTATGCGGAACAGATGGCAGATTTGAACCTCGTGTCTTCAAGACTGCAGTGCAGCTTCTTACCACTAGGCCAGCAGAGGGAGTCATGAAGAAAGGCAGAGTTTACAGTACTACTCACAGTTCTGACGTGGGCCCTTCCGGAAATGCTAGTTGTTATCCTTCCCCTGACAGGAATCTCTGAACAATTTAGAATCCCTTTAAACAAGTAGCAGTTCTTCTCAAGTACTCAAGTTTTATTGTGTGTTGTTTTTGGTTTTGGTTTTTTCTTATTGTGTGCTGTGGACTGGCACAGGAGGAGATTGCCCCTCCTCCAGCAGAGCATCTGTTGGATTTGAACTGCTCGCCTTTGGGATTGCAGTGCAGCTTCTTGCCACTAGGCCACCGGAGCTCCCTACTCAAGCACTCGAGTTTTGTTGTTGTTCATTGCCATCAAGTTGAAGCCACCTCATAGCTGACCTTCCAGGAGATTTTCAGAGACTATAAATCACACAGGAGGAGGTTGTCCATCCTTCACCCCTGGAACAGCTGGTGTTCAAACCTCCTGCCTTTGGACTGACAGCACAGCGACCCACCCTCAGGTTGTTTTAGAGCCAGTGCTTCCATCCAGTGCTCTCACCCATACCCTCTGACAGTGACCGTGACACGTTACACTTGACTGAAGCCTAGTCCTGGGGTCCTGGCTAAGGGATTCTAAGTCAGCTCAGTGACCTCACATGATACTTCTTCAAACTCTCAAGGCCCTTCCCATTCTATTACATATAAGAGCTGTGATTTATGCCACACCAGGCCATGCAATTTAAGGAAGTGTACTAAAGAAGTTTGGAGAAATTACTGAACTGACTAACCTTTGAAAAATAGTCAATCTGCTTAAACATTCCTTTTCACAGTCTTTAAAATCTTTCTAGCCCTTGGGTCCAGCTTTATTGCTATTGTCCATATGACTATTCATCCTATTACTGTCTCCAGGGAATTGTCTAGATTATTTGAGAGGTTTCTTTCAGAGAGTCCTTTCCCCTACCCTCAAGAGGACCCAAGTGGAAAGATGAGTTCTTAGTATCATCCTCTGTCTAAAGATCGCTGTGACATAGTCTGTAGGGAATGGTGGTGTTAGCCCAAATGTGCTGCCCTCTCATGGTTTGAATCCACCAGTGTCTTCACAGGAGAAATAGGAGCATTCTTCTCTCATGCAATTTACAGCCTTGGAAAACCCACTGGTAGGTCAACTAGGAGTCATCTCCAACCCAACAGCAATTAAGTGAGTGAACGAATGAGTTCTCTAACGAGGACCTGAGTCACCATTTTCTGGCTGGGTAGAGAATTGTGCCAGCATACTCAATTACTCTTACGCACCTAGGCTATTCCAGTTATTGTGCTAGGTAGTTTGAAGAAACACAAGATAAAGAAGGTAGCGACACACCCCCTTCCCATAGATCTTACACACCAGGGGAGAGAGAAATCAAATTCTTTAGTCACTGAGCCAAGGAGAAAGTGGTAAGTATCATAGGAATTCAGAAAAGAATGACAGATTACAGGAGGAAGACAGATGGCTTTCAACTGAGGAGGCTTCTGGAAGATTCTCTGAAGGAGAGAATCTTTGAACGGAACTCTAAAGAGTTAGGATGTTAGGGGCGTGGGTCACCTGAGAGCAGAAATAGCAAGGGCTTTCCATGCAAAGAGAGGAGAAGACACAGACAGAGTCAGGGTGCATCAGTACCAGCCAGGTGCCTCCCATCTGCCAGTGCAGTGCTGGGGGCTGTAACATTTCATCATCATCATTGTCATGCTAAGTAGATTCAACAGAAGATGAGAGAAACAGAGCTCAAAGAAGTCGCTGACTAGATGAGGAAATTAAGACTCAGAAAGGCAAAGTTTGCTTGGGAACTCAGATACTGCTGATGTAGGATGGGAACTCAGATACTGCTGATGTAGGATTTGAACTCAGGACTGTGTTGTTCTGAAGTCCCTGCCCTTGCAGCACCACTGCCATGTACTACACACACACACACACACACACACACACACACACACACCCCAAAGGAGCAGGAGTCGGGGGAGGAGACAGACGTTAGTCTATGTAGTAGTAATGAGAAACAAGAGAGTTCAAGTTAGTTCTAGCTTATGAAGTAGGAAATTGGAAGACTTAATGGAGACTGAATCATAGAAAATATTTAAAACATAGACTGAAGAAAGAGCACCATAGAATAGATAGGCAGAGTGTACTTTCAGATTAAACGCCCCGGCTTAAACACGTTCCTGAAAGCCTTTACTTTAAACAGTATTGTCCAGTGCTCGCAGACACTGGACAAAACCTATGACATTTGCATTC